CGGTACCCCGACCCTTGAAGGTGTCAGGAGGGGTCAGGGGGCGTAGCAGCACGGTTCGGGGAGTTCGTCGTTGTGGGGGTGTACTTCTCCCCGAACCGATCTCTCGCCGAGCTCCACAACTCTCTTGCAGAGCTGAGAGCAGTCGTCGTCGGAAGTTATCCCCTCCCCGTACTTGTCCTCGGGGACTGCGGATGCGGGGCGAGTCGGTGGTGGACATCTCGTTCGCTAGCCCCGCTCTGTCGCCGCGTGCTATTGACTGGCGTGTCATGGAGGGGGTGGAGACCTACTCCGACCACCGGTACATCCGGTTTGATGTCTCCACCCAGCCCTCGAGCGCGCCAGTCCAACAGGCCCCGAGTGGTCCGCGTTGGGCGCTGAAGCAGCTGGACCGGGAGCTCCTCCTGGAAGCCTCGATCGTGCAGGCCTGGGTGTCATCACCGGACAGGCCTGCCGACGTCAATGATGAGGCAGGGTGGTTCCAGGAGGCCATGTCCGAGATATGTGACGTGGCAATGCCCCGCGTCCGGCCAGGAAGCGCCCGGCGTCAGGTGTATTGGTGGTCGCGTGAGCTGACGTCTCTGCGCGAGGCGTGTGTCGCCGCGCGGCACCTGTACACCAGGCATCGCAGGCTCCGCATTCGTCCACCGAATGCGGCAGCCATTGAGGCGGAGCTGTACGAGGGATACAGAGCGGCGAAGAACGCCCTCCGGGAGGCTGTCCTGCGGGCCCGGGATCGGGCCCGTGAGGAGATGCTGGAGACTCTCAACAGAGATCCGTGGGGGCGCCCTTACAAGATGGTGCGGGATAAACTCCGCACCTGGGCCCCCCGCTGACGCAAAGTCTCCGGCCCCAGCTCGTGGAGGACGTGGAGCGCTCTGTTCCCTGCGCGACGGGAACATCCGCCCCCGCCTATGGCTCCGCCACCTGCGGTGCCGGAAGCGGACCACCAGGACGACGACGATGACATCCCGGAAGGGACCGGGGTAGACCTGAGAGTGGCGGTACGTAGGCTCAAGGCCAGGAATACCGCCCCAGGACCCGATGGCTTGCCTGGCAAAGCCTGGGTCCTGGCCTCGGAGGCTCTCGGGCCCCGACTGGAGGGGCTCCTAAGCGCATGCTTGGAGAGAGGCCAATTCCCGCTTCGTTGGAAGACGGGGAAGCTGGTCCTCATTCGGAAGCCGGGGCGCCCTGCGGACTCTCCGTCCGCATACCGGCCCGTGGTGCTGCTCGACGAGGTGGGCAAGCTCTTTGAAAGAGTCATTGCAAACCGCCTCGCCGAGCACCTTGCGGAGACGGGGCCGGATCTTGCGGAACACCAGTTTGGTTTCCGCAAGAGGCGCTCTACGGTGGACGCCATCATGCGCGTGAGAGCCCTCACGAACGGGGGATGCAGTGGCCAGAGGGGGTTGTCTTGGCGGTGTCTCTCGACATCGCCAACGCCTTCAACTCCATGCCCTGGAGCTGCATTAGGGAGGCACTCCGGTATCACCGGGTGCCGACCTATCTCCGTCGTATAGTCGGGGACTACCTGACGGACAGGGCCGTCATCTACCCCGGTCGCAACGGTGAGTGGAACCGGCGAGAGATGTCGTGCGGTGTCCCACAGGGTTCGGTTCTGGGGCCACCTCTGTGGAACATCGGTTACGACTGGGTGCTGCGCGCCGACCTCCCTACCGGCGTCAGCGTAGTTTGCTACGCTGACGACACGCTGGTACTGGCACAAGGGGGGGTCGTACGAGGCGGCAAAAGACAAACGGCGGAAAATATGACACGCGGGGTTGCGATAGTCGTTGAGAGGATTCGGCAACTGGGTCTCGAGGTGGCTCTGCACAAGTCCGAGGCCATGCACTTCCATGGTCCTCGGAACAGGCCACCACCGGGATCCTCAGTGATGGTAGGAGGGGTATCCATCGACGTCGAGTCGACGCTGAAGTACCTAGGACTCGTCCTCGACGGCCGATGGAACTTCGTTGAGCACTTCCGACGTTTGGCTCCCAAACTGGAACGGACCGGGGCTGCCTTCAGGCGGCTCCTGCCGAACCTGGGAGGGCCAAACGCCTCCTGCCGGAGGCTCTACGCGGGGATCGTGCGGTCCATGGCCCTTTACGGGGCCCCGGTGTGGGCGCGTGGTTTGGCGCGGCTTGCCGTCCACCACCTGAACGCGCCCCAAAGGGTGATAGCCGTGAAAATGGTTCGCGGCTACCGCACGATCTCCCGCGAGGCGGCGAGCCTCCTTGCCGGATTGCCGCCATGGGATCTGGAGGCGATAGTCCTCGCGCGCCTGCACGAATGGCGTGCAGAGGCACTATGCCGTGGGGAAACCCCGCTGCCGCGGCAAGTTGTCGCGCAGCGGACAGACTTCCGGCACGATCTCATGGCGACATGGAGACAGCGACTGTCGCAACCCCGTGCTGGGCACGCCACTATAGCGGCGATAAGACCCCTCTTTGAGGAGTGGCTTGAGAGACGCCACGGCATCCTCACCTTCCGCCTGACGCAGGTCCTCACCGGACACGGTGTGTTTGGGAGGTTCCTGCACCGAATCGGGCGGGAGGAAACGCCCGGGTGCTCCCACTGCGAGGATGGACCGGAGGACACGGTGGAACACACCGTGGAGGTGTGCCCTGCTTGGGCGGAGCACCGCCGGGTCCTCGTAGCGGCGATAGGCGGCGGCGACCTCTCGCGTCCGGCCCTGGTCGAAGCCATGGTCCGGAGCGAGACGGAATGGAATGCCGTCTCCACCTTCTGCGAAGCAGAGAGAGAGCAGCAGCTTTCCTCCCCGGCCGCCGCGGGAGACGCCCCGGGCGTCGGGGGGCTACGTCGTGGCCCCCGGCCACCGTAGGCGCGGGCCTGTGGACGGCGAGCAATGGGTAGCTCGTCGTCCGTCCGTCTAATGACGACAGGCCGTGTCGACGGCGCGTTTTGTTCCACGCGCGCCTCAATGAGCTGTCAGCAGCGTGAAGGGGCCCGCAAGGGCCGACGCCTACCGGGGCTGCGGACTGTTCGAAAGAGATACCGCGGCTCCGGAACGTAAGGGCACTGAAGGAACACGGATGGTTTTTAGTCAGTAAAAGTCTGACACTCCCTTACGCTCCACCCAGAGCGAAAGGGGTCATTAGATGATTTTCCATCCGCAAAAAAAAAAAAAAAAAAAAAAAAGGGGGACAAACAAGAGCACACATAAAGGATTCCTACCATTTTGTCAGCGAGATTAAAGACCTACATCTGGCAGACAATGAAACTGTGGTCAGTTTTGATGTGCAGTCATTGTTAACATGATTACCTGTTGAAGACTGCATCTCAATTGTTACTAGAAGGCTGGAAGAAAACAACATACCCGTAGAATATGCAGTATTACTCAGACACTGTCTTACATCTGGCTACCTATTGTGGAAGGAGGAGTTCTACAAGCAAGTAGATGGTGTGGCGATGGGCTCACCTGTATCTTCCATTGTCGCGGACATATTCATGGAAGACTTTGAGGAGAAAGCCCTGCTTAGTTCTCCCATAAATCCAAGGTTCTACAAGCGGTACGTAGACGACACTTTCACAATTCTACCTTTAGATAAAGTATCTGTATTTTTAGACCATCTTAACTCTATAAATTCTAAAATTCAGTTCACAATGAAGTTAGAGGCAAACAATTCCTTAGCTTTTACTAGATGTGTTAGTAATTCGGAACCCTGATAACACCTTGAGCCATACTGTTTATAGAAAGAAGACCCATATACAGATAGATATTTAAACGGTGATTCTCACCACCATCCTTCACAGTTAGCTACCGTGGGTAAATCTTTGTTTCAGAGAGCACGAGGGATCTGTGACAGTAAACACCTGGCTGCAGAGCTCCACCATGTCAAGCAAGTTTTGCATGACAACAAGCTTCGAGTCCCGCGCCTACGTTACAGTGAACGAGTGAAGCCGGCCACAGTCGAGTGTGTACCTGCTGTACTGCCATATGTTAGAGGAGTCACTGACAAGATTGGCTACATCTTGAAGCGCGCTTCCATCAAAACATACTTCAAGCCGCTGAAGAAGATTGGTCAGTTTTTACCATCAGTCAAGTGTAATGTCCCTCTGCAAGATGCAGGAGTGTACAAGCTTGATTGTGAATGTGATCTCTCCTACATAGGACAAACTAAAAGATCAATAAAAACCCGCGTTAAAGAACATTTAGCTGATGTGAAGAATCGACGCTCCGGGAAGTCTGCAGTCTGTGAACACGTACAGGATCGCCCCCGTCACTACATCAGATTTGATGACCGCAGATCCTCGCTAAAGAACACCGATTCTTTCCAAGGATTATTCACGAGGCTATTGAAATCAAAAAACATCCTAATTTCAATAGAGAAGATGGCTGGGTGCTACCATCTGCTTGGGATCCTATAATAAATAAAATTAAATCCCAACCCAAGCATACAACTGCAAGACTTCAAGATACCATAAGTTCATACTGCGTAGATCGGAACAAAAGTTAAATTTTAATCTATGGTAACCGCGGTTAACTATGACATATGGACGTTGAACATCTCAGTCCTGCCCGTGACCATGAGTGCTGTAAAGCCTTCGAAACGTCGGGTATTTAAAAAGTTAAATATATGCGATAAATTCCGTAAAAACTAGTATTATCTCAATGTGTAGTGTTCGCGTAAATATAAGAAATCATTTTGTATTTTACTGTAGTCATAAATGAACTACTATAGTTAATATATATATATATATATATATACATATATACAGTAGAGTCCGTTTATAATGACTTCGAAAGGAATTGACAAACACGTCATAATAAGCGGACGTCATATAAAGCGTTATGTGAAATGAAAAACTTTTTTTATGTAAATATGTATGTATTTAAGTATGTATTTTAATACAGAAACATACATAGTACATATGTAATTACATATGTATGTATATATACATATTAAACCAAAATCAAAATTGCACGTAATCAGCACATTATTATAATAACACATTGTATGTATGTACAAGTGTATTTTTTACTGTAAGTAATCTGTAATTTTTGTCTGCTTTTGTTTTTTCATTTTATTGCAAAAAGAGTCTCTAATACTATTGTGTATAGAAGACATAGCTATGATCAAATTATCATTTTCAATATTGCTGTGAACAAATCGTGACAATAATTCTGCAGCTTTTAATGCCTCTTCTGCAGTAGGTAATGGTGCTTCCTCGACTTCCTCTTCCCCATTACTTTCGAGTTGTTCCTTAGCACTAATGTTCTGTACGACATTTTCATCGGTGGGTTCTTCGGATGTGAGGAGACCGCTATCGATGTCAACATAATCTTCCCACATTTCCGGTGCTGCTAAAGAATCTGAGTTTAGGTTTCGTGACCACAAAGATAAAGGAGTGTCATCTTCTTCATCTAATTCATGTGGCCGTGGCCGAAATTCGGTCTAGAGTACATTATTATTATTATTATTATTATTTATTTTATGACTGTTGAATAAAACTATATATACAGATTTTGTTCCATGTGTAGTGTTCGCGTAAATTTATGAAATCTTTATGGCTGTTGTTATAAGAAGACGCTGCTGCCAAATACGAGATTTGTTTCCCTGATTTTACAACCCCCATGGCAAGATATAGGTTAGTGTAGATATATTCTTACACAGCCAATACACGTATACACACAAGTGTATATCACTTTATTTATTTATTTTACGTATTTAATTAGCAGTGTGCATTAAACAAGAAACAACCGGTAATTCAAGATATTCAAGTACATATATATATATATATATATATATATATATATATATATATATATATATATATATATATATATATATATGGCGCTATAAGTATTTTCAAGTACGGTAAGGTTTAATTATAAGCGATATATGAAAGACATAATATAATAAATAAATAATTACTTTGCTTGCTGAAAAATGAATTATCGTCGCGCGGCGTAGACGCGTGATACACGTGGTTCAAACTGCGGGGCACGGCTGTATGAAATATTTTTGAAACAAATACAATTTTTAAAATTTTTGTGTCCGTTTTTCTGTTTTTTCTTGTTGAACTGAATGGCTGAACCAATCTATGTGAAGTAACTTAGGCTACTTTTATTTTAGAAAAAGAATTGGGGTCTTATGCAAAAAATTCAATCCCATGAAGGTCAATCGTGATAAATTTCACGCGAACGAAGTCGCGGGGAACGGCTTGTGTATATATATATAAAATGATATCATTGTAGACATTTTCATACTTCATGAAGCGGGGAGGAGTCCACAGTACTGTCCTGACGCATTTGTTCTCCTTACTTTAAAAATTGTACTTTTATGTACGTTAGTTATAACATACATATTTTTATTAATTTATGTTTTTATTTGGTAAGTTAATAGGTACTTAAAATAAGATAAAATTCTTATTTTATACCAGATGTTTTTTATTTGAAATCCGCTTAAAAATTTGGAAAATTCGATCCCTTATGGTTTTACAGTTTATTATTTTATTAAAAAAATAATTTACATGACGATTGACTCGATATTTACTGAGAGTAATGTATTTAAAAAGTAAAAGAATACGTATTCTTCGATTTCATAATAACCCGTTACGGTAGAGGGGCCAGGGGCAGAATGTGTGCAATTTTGTATGGAGATAGAATACTTTGGTATTTCTTAAAACAGCCCCATATCGAGGGAGGTAGAAAGGGGTAGGTAATGTTTAATTTTCAGGGAGAAAAAATATTTAATATTTTAAATAATATAATGCCTCCTACGGTTTTAAAAGAAGGGTGCAAATTTTGTAAGAAAAATATTGTATTAAGTCTACAGCTCAAATCGTTGGACATAGATGCGTCGAATTGGAACAATAACTTCCCTTTATTAAGCAATCATCCATTAAGAAAGCATTTTTGGAAAATTTAAATCCTTACATAATAAAATAAAGTTTTTAAAAAGCTTTTATACGGGGTGAATTAATATTTGTATAGTGAAAAATTATTACATGATTTTGTAAAATTAAAATTTGTACGAATACTTGAGGATTACGATAATGCTATTAGGTTTATTATCATTTTCCCTTATATCTCAGCTTAAAGTGTTAAAACCAGGGTTTTTTTTGTTTTAAATCGCATGGTGGTAAAGAAATCCGTAAAATAAAGTTAAGATAATTACGAATAATACCTGTCATAGAACTTTACAAAACTCTGCCCCTATTCATCATCATAACCAAAATATTTATAATTGTCTATTTATCATTGTGCCCGAGTAAGTAATATGAAAAAATATAGTGAGATCAGATATAATGAATGAAACACTGCTAAACTTTTAACTCCGGGCTGCTACTGAGAATTTCTTGATACTCAACCCGACTGATTTTAAGCCCGATCGCATTTAATACTTATAGGTCAAAAAAACCTTCCTAGGTTGAGTTTAATTTCATTTTTCAATTGTTCGTAGAATGAGACAAAATGTAGTTACTTACGCAATTTCATTTATTTCGTTAGTGTATGTACTTAGTTGTAGGTAGGCATTGGATTGTAGTTTTATTTCAATTTTTATTTAATATCAATAATTGGTGATGTTACTTGCTTATTTAGGGCAATCTCTTATTTCCTGTATGGATAACAAGTATTGGCTGGAGAAATTCGGGAGCAAATTAGGGATTACGATATTGCGGTCATTTTGTTGTTTATTTACAAAATAAAACACAAGCGTACAGTTTGCCCTATTCGTTTCTTAGCTCGTTAGTGAGTCCGTTCATTGGTTAGTTCGTTTATTTGTCTAATTGAATGACTAAATGAAACTGTCGCGAAGACTTAGACACGAATCGGAACTGTTTTTACTTAGATTGGTGTCTTTCTAAGTCTTCTTGACAGTTTAATATACAAATTAATCATCATCACTTAGAATAACAAAGGTACTGATTTCACGCGAACGAAGTGGTGGGCACAGCTAGTTTCGCAATAAAATCTTCATAATATAATGTGTTTAATTTTATGATTTTAATAATATTGTTGCAGGCTATAATTAATGTCCCTAGCACCATTTAGTGCCGGGTAGCAGAGCGAGGAGAGCTTTCTGGAAAATGCTATGCTAGAACTTTCCACTTCCAGCGCCATCTAGTATCGAATAGAAGAACTAAGCTTTGTGGAAAACTCCACACTCGAACTTTCCCCACCTAGTCGATCGGGACCGGTATTTTCTGGAATATTCTAGATGTTTCGGTGGAAAAGGCCTATTTAAAGGCGTTAAGCGCTGCGACTGGGTCAGTATTGTATTGGCGATTCGAGCGAAGCTTTCGGAGCGAAATAAAGTGAATTAAAGTGTTAAGTGTGATTAATTATTAGTTTGTTTTGAGTTTTAACTGGTGTCGGTAATTAAAGTGTCAATTTTGGTAATTCAATCGGCAGTTTTTATTGTCACGAACCCTAAGCTCTTAACAATAATGTAGGCTTTCATATAGGCAGGTTGAAGTGATATTTAATTACTAGTATAATGTTAAACCTCTTAAACCTAAAAATAGCACAATAAATGACTTATTCTATTATATTTTACAAAGTGAAAATGATGTCAAGTCTGTAATATTCGAGAGAATAGCTAGAACACAGAGACTGGCCATTTAGCTTAGCCAAAAATATAGGTTAAGATGGGACAAAATTAAGTATTTGATTATACGATACAATTATAGTTACTGAATTGTCAATGGCCAGCCGTATGAAGATGACATAAAATAATTTATCACCCCATTTTATCCCATAGGTTTTTTAAGAGTTGCCTAACGGCATTTTGTTAATAAAAACACAAAATAATAACCACGATTGCACGCCTGCCTGCCTATCGTAGCATCTGTGTCAAACATTCATTCTATGAGCCAAACTTTGGGGGGTGACCTGTCTCTATAGGTTATGAATAATTGAATTAATGAATATTAATATGAATGTTTAGTTCCGGCATATGAATGTTTCATCATCATCATCATTATCATCACAGCCCTTCACAAGTCCACTGCTGAACATAGGCCTCCCCCAAGTAATGCCAGAAAGCACGGTCCTGAGCCACCTGCATCCGTCGACTTCCTGCATATCTTACCAGGTCGTCACTCCATCTAGTGGGCGTCGCCGTACACTACGCCTACCGATACGAGGCTGCCACTCGAGAACCTTTCGTCGCCATCAGTTATCGGTTCTTCGAGCTATATGGCCGGCCCACTGCCATTTCAGCTTACTAATCCGTTGGGCTATGTCGGTCACTCTGGTTTTACTGCGGATATCCTCATTTCTGAGTCTATCACGCAGAGAAACTCCGAGAATAGCCCTCTCCATAGCTCGCTGAGCGACCTTGAGCGTCCTTCATACGGCCAGCAGTGAAGGACCACGTCTCGGATCCGTAAGTAATCACTGGCAACACGCACTGGTTGTACACTTTAGTTTTCAGAGATTGAGGTATACCTGACGAGAAGATGTGTCGTAATTTCCCGAACGCTGCCCAGCCGAGTTGAATCCGTCAATTGACCTCTCGGTCGAAGTTGGACTTAACTAGTCGGACTATTTGTCCCAGGTAAACGTACTCGTCAACAACTTCGAGCATAGTGCTCCCAACAACTACCGGCATAGGTGTGACATGGACATTAAAAATGATCTTTGTTTTGTCCATGTTCATCAGACCTATCCGTTGGGAGGCACTATTGAGGTCATTGAGCATAGTGCTTAAGTCCTCCAGCGATTCTGCAATAAGGACTATATCGTCGGCAAATCGAAGGTGAGTGATGTACTCGCCATTGATGTTAATACCGTATCCTTTCCAGTCCAGTAGTTTGAAAACGTCTTCCAAAGCAGCGGTCAAGAGTTTCGGGGATATAACGTCACCCTGTCTTACACCTCTCTGCAGTTGGATAGGTTTCGAGCTCTGGTTCTGTACTCGGATAGCCATCGTAGCCCTACTGTACAAACACTTCAGCACTTCGATATACCGAAAGTCAACTTGGCACCGCTGAAGGGACTGCAGCACCGCCCAAATTTCGACGGAACCAAAAGGCTTTCTCATAGTCCACATACGCCAGGCAAAGTGGCAAATTGTACTCTTCAGTCTTCTGTACAAACTGCCGTAAGGTATGTATGTGGTCTATGGTACTGAATCCTTTTCGGAAACCGGCTTTTTCGGGAGGCTGGAAGTCGTCGAGTCTGCGTGCGAGACGATTCGTAATGACTCTCGAAAACAGCACGTAGACGCGGCTCAGAAAGGAAATCGGTCTGTAGTTCTTCAAGAGAGCGTTGTCGCCTTTCTTAAAGAACAAGACCACCGCACTTCTGCTCCACGCCTCTGGAGTAGTGCCACCATGGACGACG